TTAAATATTCTTTTCTTTTTTTTTTTTTTAATTCCAATATATATACCCACACACATGCGTGTATGTAACAGAATATACATATATATATATACGCACGTCTTCCAAGTCTTTTTTCAATCTCGTATATGTGTGTATAGATTTGATCGTTTGCGCAGGTTTTACCATACGCGGGCAGCATAGTATATATTTATTTATAGAATTTTTATCTTTCTGTGTAATTGCACTATGTATGTACTTGAGTGAGGCGTAAACACCGATCTGTTTCTTTTCTCTTTCTCTCGTTTTTCTCATCTCTTTGTAGATGCAAAGTCTCTTCCTCCGGACGCGAGCCGTAACGTGCACAATCGCGGCTGATGAAAATCGTGGCACGAACGATACAAATTTGATTTCCTAACACATGTTTCACACGGGTTCGCCAGTTACTCTCGTCGCGCGTTTGCTCTCTTTTTCTTTCTCACACTCAATTTCGCACATCACTCGCGCTCGCTTTCTAAATTAATACAGTGTGTTTCATTTATTTATTTATTTTATTAAATGTCATCACATCGAAGAGATATTTTTCTTTCGCGCTCTTTTTTACTTCCTCCTCCTCATTTATTTATTTAGTTTTTTTTTTTTTAACCGGTGATAATAATTCATCCTTAAGAATTTTTTTTCAGCTACACACCTTTCTAAGAGACACGCAATAAATTAAGGATACGAGAGAAAACGGGGCACGAGGGGACGCAATTATTTGACGAGCTTTGTGAGAAAACTCTCTCAAAACTTTTCTTTCTCTCTTCATTTCACATTTACACACGAAGCGATAATTACAGCGTGTATTACTATCACGTTTCTCGTCGTTAATGAGTTGGATATTGAAGGTGATTATCTCTTTATTTAAGGAACAAATCGTGTTCGCTAGTTCTCTCTCCTGCACAATCTCTTTATTTTTAATTCACATTCGGATCATATAATTTATAGGATATATTTTTTCTTTTTTTTTCTCGCGTTTTTTTTAGGATAAGATTAATACACCTCGTATCTCTCTCTCTCTCTCTCTCTCTCTCTCTCTCACGCTTTCTTTCTCTCTTTCTCACTTCGCACATCTCTCTCACAATGTATATAATCAATTAAACGCGCGAGATGTGACGTATATATATTTTTTTTTTTTAACAGCGATATTTGACGCTTTATAAAAATGTGGAGCCCAACGAATCGCTATCGAAGACTAGAAAAGTCAAATTCCAAATAGCACTGATGATCGTTTGTTTATACCACACATATTATTTTCTCGTATAAGAAATTGACACCCCGCGTGTCAATTAATAATAATCACTTAATTTCTCTAGAATAGATGACGCGCTCGAGGCACAAGTAGCTTTTCTCTTTTGCTTCTCGGATTGTTTTTTTTTTGTTTTGTTTTTGTTTTCCTCTAAAAAAAACGACAGAGCGGTCTTACATAGAAACGAGAGTCGTGATTCGATTTCAAACGAAGTTTTAAAACATGTAAAATATGAAAAATCTGTCCTCGTGCAAACAACGAAAAAATTCATAACGATAAAAATTACACGAAGAATTTTCTTCGATGTTTCGCAAAATCGTATCTACACGGAGGACGAGGGAGGGATGTCTCGTTTCTCGAAAATTAAAAACGTTGATTGCACAGTGGACTCAAAAAAATCGAATAATGTAGGATCGCTCCGCGATTTGTCTGATTTGTTCGGAAAAGGAAGCGAATTTCACGACGACACAGCGAGAATTCAACGAAACACGACCGAGAAAAATTACAGAAAGGCACGATCCGCTATGGAATCATGGCGGAAACCATGATGTTAGAGATACAAGATAAATGGAATTATATATTATTTTGTATTTGTTGTTTCCTCTCTCTCTCTCTCTCTCTTTCTCTTTCTCTCCGCTACTGGAAGAGCAATAAAATATATATATATATATATATATATATATACATATATATATATACGCAACACATCGGAC